TATGCAAATTAGCCTGCAGTACCACTGCTCTACCCATATGAGCAGCAAAAAGACGTTTTTAGACCAAATATTACAGATTTGGACAAATATGCACAAAAACATCAAAATTAGCACAGAAACGTTACTGTATAACATTTTAGAAACATTCTAGACAGTTTATCAGCTAAAAAAAGTTAATTTTGGGGTAAGTTACTCTTTAAGAACACCTACTGTATTTAAAGAAGACACACATGACAAAAAACAGGGGAACAGGTGTACAGGTCACGCTACCTTTTAAAAAGAAAACTGAAAAAACACAGAAGGTTAGATGAGGGGAAAAACCATATTACATCAACAAAAGGTGACGAAATATGTCATGAATCATTGTGTACGTCATGAATTTTACTTTTTACAGAACATGCTTTGTTTAGAAAGATCAGAAATGTTAGCTTGTCAATTTAAGCTAGCTGTCACGTTCTCTCATCCTGACCAGACCTCCTCGCTAACCCGCTTTAGGCGGTGCCCCCCTCTTCTCTCCTGCACTACCCACTGTTGGCATTTTCTAAATTTTGCCTTGGGGCGGAGTTAGTGTAAGATGCACTTTAAGGTTGATTAACTGTGGYGGCCATCTTGAATCCAAAAACTAATTGGATGTCAGATTATAGGACCGGTGATTATTTCTTGAGAGCTTAATTAAAATTTAACCAGTAGTTGATGAGATATTTTGCTAACAGAGCACAGAGATGCAGTAATTACGTTGTCTAGCTTCTTTGGTGGTGAGTGATTAAAAAATCCAACGGTGGAAAAGTTCTACTTCAAACAAGAGTAATGCACACGAACAGGTCGGACACTTGTGTTTTTTATTTATTTATTTTTTGKTTTTGTTTTTCTTGCCTGCAGGTTTAATCTGTCCCAGTTTGTTTCAATAGCTTGTTTTGCTTGTTGGCTTGTGGGGAAAAAGCAAATGCAACAGAAGCAGCTCAGATTTGACTCATAAGAAGTCTGCACAAAGTTTGATCCTGTTTTTCTGAACTAAACGAGAAGCAGCAGATCCTGGATCTGTCACCGGCTGCTGGACCCGTTCATAGATTTATCTTATAGGTCTGGTAAAACTACATTATCGCTCCTGTCTGACCCACCCACTTTGATTGACAGGTGGACTAAAGTCCCTGTGATCATGTTTAACTCTCCTGTGTAKTTGAGCTGAAACGAGGTGAAATGGTCCAGAGTGGGTTTTTCTAAAACCTCTAACAGTACATGACTGTATTTGGTTTCTTAAAGAAGATTAAAGTAACTTTATTTCCTCTTTAACACCTTGTCTGTTGGTTTGAGGTCGGTGGAGGCTGTGCTTTAAATTAAATTTTTTTTTCTTACTTTGGTTTCTGCTCTTTGTAGTTCAGGCCGGCACCCCGAAACCAGCCAAACCACAGCAGCAGGAGGAGGAGCCTATGGAAGCCACATCATTGGCTGAAGATGTTGAGCTGTCTGCTGAGAGGTGGGTGACTTTTCTCCTAAATCAGCACTATTTTCAGCAGAATGTGTTCAGCGCCAGATCAGTTTTTACCCATAGTTTTGCTCCAGGGTTGAAGCAGAAGTTTCACGAGACGTCTGCGTAATCTAAACGTCTCCGCTTTCTTCCACTAGACTGAAAGAGTTCAAGTCGTCGCTGTTCGCCGTCTTCCAGTCTGCTCACGCTCAGTCGGTGARGATGACGAAGCTGATGGGCGACATCAACAAGGGGCGCGAGAGTGTGTTCACGGAGCCGGAGGTGCGCGCCGCCTTGGCTCGCATGCAGGACGATAACCAGGTCATGGTGGCTGATGACATCATCTTCCTCATCTGAGGGAGGAAGGGGAAGATTGACTGTTTAACAAATAAAAAACCAACCTCAGAAAGAAGTAGAGAATTATATCAAAGTAAAAGACAAATTTAACTTTTTTTATTTTACTTTACCCAAAAAGTTTTACATTTCTGCAGCTCTTTGTTCACTAACGATGCTTTCTGTTCTTTTGATTGATTTATGATGGAAGTTTATGCCACAAAAACAACAATTTTGTATTTCCTACCTTTTTTTTTGTCATGAATTTGTTGTAAATAGTTAAGTTTTGCAATTATTAGATGTYGCTGGTTAATAATAAATAAAACACGTAAGTATAAATGTCAGGAGGCTACTTGGATTCTTGAATTGACAGTTTTGAAACTTACAGTATGAGATCAGTTATACAAAAATAAAATTCAAAGAAAAGACTCGATAAATTTGCAGACAGATTAACTTTTTTTTTTTTTAAAGAAAAGCATCTCTTCCAGCCACCAACTGGTGTCCAGGATTGACAATAATGGTCCCACTGACAAGACAGTCTTGCATGCATATTCTCTGTTAGCATAATATTTTATAAAAACCAATAGATGGATTTTTATGAATCTAAGAAGATAAATAATAATTGGGTGTAAATTTACGCTGGTTAATTTTAGTCTGAATTGAGATGGCTGCCACGTTTAAGTGAAACCCAAAAACAACTTTCAAAAATTTGTTTGTTGATGAGAGTCATTCCTAACATTTGAAAGAATGTGGTTCAGTTATGAATTAGAACAACTTTAATGAGCTGAGTTGTAACTTTTGTTGTTAAACTGTAAAGAAAACCAGCTTGCTTGTCAAGAAAGTGATTTCCAGGGCCTAACAGCTGGTCTTTAACCCCCCTCTGGTTATTACTGAAGGCCCTGCACACTATAGCATTTTAGACAATGTATTCAGACTTATAAAAACTTTATGACCACTTTACTCATATCTGCTATATATTTGATCTGATTACTGTGTTACAGTATGTAAAGGTCCAAAAGAGGGTTCCAGTAGATTTAAAAAAAAAAATCCATCTTCAGCTTAAACATCTTTAGTTTTGGACAAACTTTTTATAAATATAAGTCCAAAACATAACAGAGACGGGGCCTTTAGTCACAGTTGGAGTTGGCCACGTCCTGCACAGACCTGAGCTTTCAGAAATGAAGCAGAGGACAGCTGTGTTGATGTGGAGTGCAATGCATTAAATGTGTGGTGGAAATAGGCCTTTAATCAAAATATGACAAATTAACTCAGTTTAGTGACTCTTCGTTAAACTAAATACAAAGGCTATACGTTCACACTGCAGGCAAATCCGAACCAAATCCGATTTTTTGACCCATCTGACTCATATCTGATTTTTTTATGACAGTCTGAACGAGACAAATCA